CACCCCACCCCATAATCCCCACTCTAAAGAGCTGCTTTGAAGGGGACTGATCCAGATAAGGATGTCCTTGGTCTATGACAGTGAGAGCATCTGTTGAGGGAACCTAATCTGGAACACAGTTCACTGTTAATGACTCATTCCACTTATGCACAAAACACAGAGCCCCAATGAGGTCAGCAAACTTTTAGAAGTAGGTAACTGACTCTTGACCTTTTATGAGGACAAAGAAATGAGGAGAAAGATGAAAATTCTTTATTTAGTCCCAACTAAAATAGTATCTCTCCTGCCAAATGAAATACAAATAACTTTTCCTACCTTCATTGGACTCTTTGACTCTAGGATTAAGCCTATCAGATATTCAAATAGTTGGTAGTTTATTAATCAGTTAATTGCTTTGCTTCCATTTAACCCTGAGCTTTGATTGGCTGTCCTTGGAAAATTGAGGGCTTTTTTTTTTTTTTGTGGGAAGGTGGGTGGAGAGGAGTAATTCTTTGGAAGGCAGGTTAGATGTGGAGGGGGACTCTGGATAGCCAGAGATCAGCAAGAAGGGACTGGATATCTAAACTCCTAGGCAGTGGTCTTAAATCTGACTGTAAATTAAAACCACCCAGAATATTTTTAACATTATCATTGCCAAGGGCCTACCACAGATCTATTAAATCAGAACACCTTGAGGGTAGAGCTTAGGCATCAATATTTTTCCTAAAGCTCCTCAAATGGTTTTTATGTGCAATCAGAGTTGAGAATTCCACCAGATACAAGAGAGGGGAATGCCATGGGATGAGAAAGAAGTGCAAGCATGTGTGGAATATTTCTGACTCTAACCTGCTATGTGTAATAAGCACACATTACAGAGAAAGGGGTTAGAAGAGTTATGTGATTAAAGAAAGGCATGATTCTTGTTGGTTGAGTGTTGCCAGAGATGTATAAACAGACAAAAAAGAAAAAGAAAAAAAAAGAAAAGTGGAAAGCTCAGTAATGCCATGTGTGGTGGAAGTGTAGACTGTTGTGGTCTTTCTGTACTGCAGTTTGATACTACATAGTCCAATTAAGTACCCTTAATTGCCTATGAACAAGTAATTATGATTTTAGGTAAATAATCTCAAAGATAGTCTCACTCAGAGGGAGTGTAGGAGGTTGATCCCAACACCATAATCAGTGTTATTGGGTGTGATTGGGAACTGGAGGCTTTGCTAGGAGGATAGGTAGAATGTAGGGGATACATAGAAGCAACAAGTTAGACGTACACAGAACAACATGAATGGATCTTAAAATCATAGATAATGGGTGCAAAAGGTATGAAACATAATGAGATATATAAAACAATATTACATTTATGAATTAAAAAGGTAGCACACACTAAAAACGTAGCACATAAGACAATATTTATTTCGTAAAAACCATACAAACAATAAGATAAATATGCCTATGGGAGAAGGGAAAAGTGAGCAGGCCATAGTGCTAAAAGGAATAAATAACTAGATAACTATTTTTTAAAAGTAAGATTTAAACCAGACCTTGAAAGATGAATAGGAAAGAGGCGGGAAGAGAAAGAAGCCTTTTAGAATGGCAAAATGACTCCCATGAGCTAAGGCCAGGAGGCAGGAGTGAGCTGAGTGGGTAGAGTAGAACAGTTTGTTTGGAGCAGAAGGGTGTATTAAAACAAAGTGGGAAGTAAGGCTAGAGAGAGAGAGAGGATTCGATAAGATTTCGAAGATCTGGAAAGCTAGATAAAGGAATTTAAACAATGATAAAGTAGATAAGAGAGCCATTAAATAATTGAGCAGGGAAGACGTGATGAAAGTGAAGTCAGGTGAGGGAGACAGAGAGAGCCTGAAGTCAGAGAACTGGATTGGAAGTGAATACTAACGTGAACTAAGCAAAAAAAAAAAAAGATGAAGGTAGTCTAGACAGGCTAGCTTTGAAGGTGAAGGCTGGAAGAGACATTTTGATAGATTACTGGCTGAATAGACAAGGTTAAGTCAGAGTACTCTGTGGTCTTAAACCAGGAAGTTAGGGGAAGAAATTAAGTCCAGTGGTAGCTACAATTTCTTATGCTGGAAATCCAGTTTTCCGGTAAAGTGGAGCTTTAAAGTTTCTAATGATTCAGTATTCTCCTTGAGCAAGCACCATAAACCAGCCCATAGGTGCACTCATTTCAGAGTTGGCAGAGATCTTTGTTTTCCAGATGACAAAAGAGAGGACAAGAGAGGTTCAGTTAATTGCCTAAAGTCAACCAATTAACTGGAGAAAGGAAGGGCAAGAACCAGTTCTCTTGACTTCCAGTCCAATGAACTTTCCCAAACTATATTGGATATGAGAGGTTTGAAAATCAAGCCAATTCACATTTGGATTTCTCAGTTTGCCTGACCTAAGTGGTCAATTTTCAAGAAAGAAGATTTAACTTTTGTACACTCAGCCCTTACCAACTCAGTTTCAACCCATAGGCATGTGAACTATCTAGCTGATTGGGCTTCCAAAATGAAACTCCTTGTATTTGCTTTACTAATCCTTACCTCTACAGGATTGGACAAAGTGAGGACTGTCACTGACTGCCAGCCTCATCAGGCAATATTTTCATACTCCTCTAAGGATAAAAAAGTAAAACAAATGACTTCTAAAAAGAATAAAATCTTAGAGTTTAAAAGATCTTAACCTTCTATCCAAACTGAAACCTCCTAGATGACACCCGACAGATGGTCATCCTGCCTCTATATGTTTTCAGGAATGGGGCAGTCCATTCCTTTGTCAGGACAGCTCTGATTACTAGAGAGCCCTGAGTCTGAGTCCTATGTCACTGCAGTGTGATTCAGGGAAAATAGCATAGGCCTTGAAGTCAAGCAGACTTGAGTTAGAATCCTAATTATGTAATCTGCTGCATGACTTGAGCAAGTTATTTATTTTCTATCAGTCTCATTCACTTCATCTTACATTAGAGATAATATTTATTTTATGTAGTTACTATGAATATCAGAAATTATGAATGTAAAATGCCTAGTACTATGCCTGGCAGAAAGAGCTAATAAAGTGATAGCTGTTATTATTGTCACCATCATAATTATTATCCCATCCATTGGTCCTAGTTTCCCCTATGATGCTACATACATATGCCTTTAAATACTTTTGAATACTTGAATTTAGTTGTCATGTTATCCCTAAGTGTTCTTTTTCAGAGTAAACATCCACCAATATTTTCTTATCCTGCCCTTGGCTATGCTCCTGCACATGATGTGTGTAGAACATGGTGACTGTAACTGAACAAAGCACTTCAGGTACAGTCTGAGTGCTTCGAAACAGAATAAGACCATAAGCCTCTATTCTCCAGACACCACTCTTCAAGCTGCTTAGGACTCCTTTAGCTTTTATGGCAACACTCTCACATACTGCCTTAGTCTTATGAAAACCTCCAGGTAGTTTTCATATGTATGAGTTTTGAGTCTTCCCCATTTTGCGCTTGTATAGAATTTTTTTTTTTAAATTCAAGAGTAAACTTTTTATTAACTGAAAGCCAATTAGGTATTGTGCATAGTTCTGTGGACATAGGGATGAGTAGGATAAAATATCAACATACTAGAAATGTAAGTCCAAAAGAAGGGGTTTATCATGTTCACTAATGAATTCCCATTTCTTGGGATGATGTCTGCACACAGTTATGTGCTTACTGTTGTTGAATAACGAATGAACAGAATAGTTTACAATGCAAATTTTTCTTATACGTGAAAAGACAATTCACTTATTTTATAAATTCAGATATGTTTTTACAAGCCTATCACTTTCAGCCCAACCCTAGTGTTTTTTCCATCTAGAGTAGACTCAGTTTCCAAAATAAATTTGTACTGTTTCTTTGAAGGCCAAACTAAACACATATGCTTTATTTGCTGGATGGCCACTATATTCCATTATTGAAGGCCTTTGGTAAGTACTTGTTTGACCCTTAATCCAGGGCTTACAACTCAGGTTAGCACTAGCTGGCCAATTTTGAGTGTTAAACACCCGAGAATATCCGGAACCGAGTCCTATCGGGCCCTGGCCTGCTGCGGGGTCGAATAAGGTCCTCGGGAGAAGTGTGGTTTAGGAGGACCTTGACATTCTGCATTGGTCTGTGAAAGGCTGCCAGGTGCTCATAGGTCCAGCGCCCCTGGGTCGAAATCCATCCTGCAGACGTCAGATAAATGAAATTGAGGGGGTGGCCAGGTCTCTAAAACCACAATTAGGGTGGTGTTAGGAACTGAGTCCTCTCACAGTTTTTTTCCAGTATTTGGGCTGCGAGTGAGGCACTGGTCGCCATCTTGCTATCAATTACCAGGCAAGCCGCCACTGGCGTCGCTCGGTAACCACGGAGACCCCGTGCCCCTCCCGTTTTCCATCCCGTCGAGGCTGTAAACTACGATTCCCAACAACTGATTTTCTCTACTTCAAGACGAGGTGTCTAGATTTGGCTTGTCAGCCCCGCGACCCTTCCGCAGTGAACCCCGGGAGTTGCAGTTCGCGGTGGCGCCTCTCCTTTTTCCTGAGGGAAGCTCCAGAACTACAAATCCAGAGAGCCAGCGGGCCCACGCATGCGCACAAAACAGTCGGGCCTCCCCGGCCCCCCTGCGGGTGCCTAGAGATAAGAAAGGGCGGGGGAAGGAAGAGGAGGCGGGATCCGGGCGCTGCGTTGGCTGCGGCCTGGCACCAAGGGGGCGGCCCCAGCGGAGTGCAGACCCGGTGGCTCCTGGCGATTATGGACCCGGCCGAGGCGGTGCTGCAGGAAAAAGCGCTCAAGTTTATGGTGAGAAGGTGCAGGCCGGGAAACGGTGGAGGCTGTGGCGTTTGCGGCGTTGCGGTGTCTCGGGCCTGGGCTGCCTGTCCTCCAGAGGAAGGGGCAGCGGGACTCTGGGCCGAGGCCGGCGGCGGGGTTTGCTGAAGGGGACGGGACAGGAGCTCCAGGGAGGCGGGAGGGGGTTGCGGAGAGGACCTGGGGGTGGGGGCAGCAGCTCCGCCATCTTGTGGATGAGAGGCCAAGTGACAGCGGGAGCTTAACCGGGGAGGGGGTTCCGAGCGGCGCGCGGGGCCCTGGAGGGAAAGGGGCGTGGGGACAGTTACTGAAGTGCGGAGGAACCCCGGAGGAGAGACGCGGTGAGGGCCGGGCCTTCCCAGTGCCAGGGTTACGGGTAAGGCCCGGGAGAAGAGGTGCATTCATGAGTGAGGAAGGGGAGCACCGAATAGTGGGAGGAAAGCTATTAGGGGGGAGGGGGACCCGCAGGGCTGGATGCAGATGGATCTAAGGGTGGAGGAAAGCCAAGACTGGTGGGCGACTTATAGTTTTGTAGAATGAGAGGGTAGAGATAGCTTTTACCTTCAGGGTGCAATTCCAGCTTGGCCAAACTAATGTTGACAAACTCCGGAAAGGAAGAGGCCTTACTTAGGAAGATAAGAGCTGGGGATGGGGCTCAAGGGCTATGGTGACAGTCCCTGAGGAAGGAATGGGGTGTTGATTATGCGCCAGAATTACAAATGTGAGAATAGGGGATACATACTCTACTTTGAAAAGAGAGGCTAAATATTTGTAGTAAGGACGAGATGATGAAAAGCAAGAGGTTGATTGGTCAGGGAAACCTGGGTACACGAGATTGGGGGCAAAATTAATATCTAATAGAGTAAAACAAAACAAAAGTGTTAAATTGTAGAGATAGTAAAATGTGGGGGCCAGGTGCTGGTATTACTTTCTGGGAAAGGAGAGGCTGTGGAGATTAGAATCACAAGACTCATGAGAAGTGATGAGATCAGTGGAGAAATGCAGGAGCTAAAAGGGGGAATGTAGGTAAGGAAATAGGAGATGTCAGGATTGGTTGTTACTTATCAGTTTTAGGTTGAAGCACCATAGGAGCTTGGATTGAATTTTGTGGGTGTGTTTAAATCCTTTGGAGCCCAGTTCTTTAACTTTGTATCATGCTTTTCTTATGCTATGATTATGTTTGGAAATTTTGTATAGTCTGGTAGTTGATGCTTTTAATCTGACGCTTCTTGTATATCATAGGTGTAAAACCAGACTTAGTGATACAGCTAAAGAATGATGGGATGCATAGACTTCCATCTTAACAGGTGGTCTTAGAGACATGGATATTATTTGCAGTCAAATCTTGCTTTTTCAGAAGTAACTGTAACTTGTCACTCTAAATCTATTTCTTTGTTAGCTGTTATTTTGTGTCTTTGCCTGAAATACCAAAATGAATCTAAATTAACATAGACACTAACCTAATTGAATTTAGGCTTTAAATGGCCCTATTTATAAGAATACATTTTCAGAGACTGGTCAGATTTACTAAAACTTTATTTTGTATGAGTGCTTTCAAAAACACCTAACTAAAGTTTGAGTGTATATCACTAACAAAATTCCATTTTGAAGGAGGTTCTTGACTTTCTGCCCATTGTTGAAATTCTAAAACATTAAGACAAGACTTTGAAATTTTTTGGACTTTAGAAGTAAAAGGAAGTTGCTTTATATCTACAGCCAGCTTCTAGATTTAAGTCAGAAAAATTGCAGCTGCTTATTTTTGTTTTCCTACTTAGAGGTTGACTTAATCCTAATCTTGACACTTACATCAGATTTATAGAATAGTGTGATTTACAGATCATAAAGAGACATTATGAGATCATCTTCTTTGCTCCCATCAGACCTCAGCCTAGGAACATTCTCAACTACTTGATCTCTGCTTTGTACCAGTGAGTTATATTTTGATAATGGTCTCCTGACTGAGTTAAAGTGGACATGGAGATGGCCATGTAGTAGTTTGCAGCTTTTGGTGCACCACACATTATTAAATGTTGAATCAATTTCCATAGGGAGAAGCCAATTTTTCTTTAATTTTAGTTACTTTCATTTTTGACCTTGCCTGCTTTTGTGGCTGCTGTTTGAGAAAAGGCCAACTGGAAGAGGGTCACTAAGAATGGCACCTTAATAACTGAAGCAGGAAATGGAGAGTTAGAGATTTGATATTCTTTTTCAGTTCAGTAACAACAGTCTTAATATGAATCTGAGTAAGTCACAACTTGCCTTTGGTCCCATTTACCCTGCTATAACATGTCTGTTTACTCCGAGTCAGTTTTGAGTTGGGAAGCTATTTTATTTGTGCTTGCACCAGATGTTTAGTGCACAGTCACATGGAAGGGCTATGCTTTTAATTAAATTAAAAATTTTGTATAGTATTTGGCTTTGTTTTGGCCTTACCTTTCCCTCGGTTGTGAATTATGAATGACAGTTTTTGTACAGATACCCTGATTTCCATAGTTTAAGAAAATGTAGTGTGTTAAAATGCCAACATGAAATGGATGTTCTCTTTTGTAAATTTTGCTCTACCACATTAATGTAGCACTCCAATGAGGAATTTTGCAATAAAATCTTACTAATGAGACTGCTAATACAGAGTTAACCATAATTCACACATGGTCTAGACTTAAAAGTTTACCCTTGGATACTTGTGAAAAGTAGTTTAACTTCTTGAAACAAATGATATTAAAGCAGTTGTGTGTATTAAATAACCTATGTGCAATATCTCTTATTCAGCTTTAGCAGGTCCTCAAGGACTTTTCCTAATACTTCCTTGGTCAACAATATTATAATTCCTCAGAAAAAGATAAATGAGAACTGGAAAAAGACCTGAGAAGAGAAATGGAAATGACTGAGGGAATGTAGGCATCATTTTATAAGGATATATATGTATTTAAATATATATAGAGAGATAGAAAGACAGGTTAGGGGTGAAGTTTTTAATTTATTTAAGAAATGGATAGGATAAAGTCCTTAGAACTAGAGAAACATTTTGAAACTGGGATGAAATAATTTTAGGGCATATAGAAGACTTTTATGCAGTTGATAGATAAGTGAAACTGGATAAAAGGTAACTTGCTGTGTAACAAACCACCCCCAAGTTTAGTAGCTTAAAAAGAAACAATTTATTTTCTGAAATCTGTGGTTGTCTGATGTGTTTCTGCTTCACTTGGTGTTGGCTGGGGTGCCAGCATGACTGGAATATTCAGAATGGCCACATTCACATGGCTGGTCACTGCCAGAGTCTTCAGCTGGCTCTGAAGGCCTTCAGGCCTCCATTATGTGCGCCGTCTCTTTCCACATGGCTTTTGGATTTCCTTGAAGCATGGGTTCGAAGAAGGAGCATTCCAGGAGTCAGGAGATAGAAGCCAGTGAGCTAATTTTCTTAAGTCCTAGGTCCTAACTCTGAGAATGTCACTATTGGTCAAAGATAGTCAAGGCCAGCCCAGAATCAGAGGGAGGGAAACTAATCTCTACCTATAGACATGAAGAGAGTCATGCAAAAACAGAGAGGGAGAAATTGCTGGGGTGGAGGAGCATGGCTTTTTGAGACTCTCTTCCATAGATGATGCTATTCTAGTTGTATGTTCAGGCTACAGATACAAATGCGATCAGTCACATTTGTGGATTATAACACTAGGAATGCTTCTGGAGGCATCTCTTTTTGGAGGTTAACTTAAGGAACTAATGTGATCTCCTGCATGACTTGCCTTAATAATGTTGCTGTAGAGATAATAGTGGGTGAATTAATATGATTCAGTAACTTTTCTAATTTGCTTGAGAAGCATATGTATCTAAAAGCAAGGAATTGCACTTAAAAATACTCAAGTTTTTCATAGTAATGGGCTTTTCTTTAAATCAGTGAGATGGATTACCAGCTGGGATGAACGCTTGAAACTAGTTCTTAGTTTAAGTTGTCAGAGATTCTATGAATCCCTGTTCCCAATTTAGCCTTCAGTTTCTTTTTGGGATACTTTTATGCAGTATAGGTATTGGGGTATCAAATTACAAGTTAGTAATTTTTCTTTGTGCTAATTTTCTTGATTTGTGTTTGTAATAGACACACATAGTAAATTACTAGAAGTGAGTTACAGATGTGGAGTAAAACTATTTTGAATGGTTGTCAGAAATTTTTTATTGCTAAATTAGAAAATTTCAAGAGACCACTTTTTATTCTATATTATTCGTATTCTGTTTAAATCCTTAAAGAAAGGACACAGATAAGAATGTTTTTCCTCATACTAAAGGGAGACAGGGCATTATGTAAGACCTTTTATTTATTACATTTCCCTTTTCACAGTCACTCTGACCCTCAGCAGCTCATCTCATCATCTTTTCCTGTTGTGCTTAGGCTAGCCCTCATCCACTCACCAACATTTGGTGACAGCCCCCAACCAGTCATTCTGACACCAGCCCATCCTCAGAGCCTGCCGAGAACCTAGGTCACAATCCTCCAGGCCCCAGAATAATGTCAAGGCTACTCACAGCTTCATCCCCAGCCTTCTCTCACCCAGCCCTTGTGTCAGCTCAGACCACCCCATGTCGTGCAACATCCTGCTCAAAGTTTTCTTATCACAGCTTTCACCTCAATTACTGCTACCTGACCCCACCACATGTCCCAGTAGTAGGGTGGGTACAGAATTTATTCACCTTTGTATCCCCAGAAGCCAGCATGACTTCTGGCATGCAGCAGGTATCCAATAAATATTTGCTGAACTTAATAACTCATGCTGCAGAGCAAATCACCTCACCCTATCACCTCATCTTGCAATAGGCCTTCATTTTCATCTTCACCTTTTGTCTTTCAGTCAGCTATTTAGAATAGAACTAGAAACTCTGGATATATATGACCCTTTCCAAAATTTACTCCTATAGATCCTCAGAAACTCTTCATAGGACTTGTCTGTCAATGGAGAGTCAATACAGTGAACTCAACCAAGATGGAAGGGGTAGCTAAGCAA